ATGTGAGTAATTTTGGTATACTTATAAATATAAATAATAACACTTTTGTTAGAATGCATACATTTACAGCATATAAATGAATTTTAAATACATACTCCCAATGCTCTTCACAGCATTTCATGTAAGCAATAAGAAGGGCAGTATCATTTGGATTTGCCTCCAAGGCCTTCTCAAAGATACTAAGCTTTACTTCATTGATGCTTGACCTTGTAATAGAAGCATCAACCTTTTTACTTTTTCCAAAATGTAAGCTTTTATCTTGAAATGCAATAAATTCAAGCCATAAGTTAACATCATTTGGATTCTAGAAATTTTAAGATACAAGAATTAGAAACATTAGTCTTTGGATGAGATATCTCGATTTTCGGCAAACAAATCTTGTTTCTTTTACAGTTAGTCAATGTATTCAAGTCTTTGAAGATTGTTTGCATTTGCTTCGAAAGGAAGTCGTAGTATGTGTTGATAGTACTGGTGGGTTTTTTTTCTTTAATACTTTGTGAATATGTATATATTCATTTATGAATTTTTCTATATTTTCTGTACTTAGAAAAACTTAAAATTGAGCGGATAATGATACATATTTTCCAACGAGCTTGTTTTTTTATGTTACAATCAGGTATGAAACTTATTTCCACTGTTGCGATTTGTCAATTACATTCTTTTTTGTTCATCTTATAATAAAGAAAGTTTAACTAGGTTACGCTGAAAGAGCATATTCATGTTGGCAAGCAATGATAGAGCTTACTTTTTTTGCACCAGAAAAAATACAACAAAAAGATTTCTATGATCGTGTAGTTGCTTTTGAATGCTTTTGGGAAGCGGAATGGCCTCGTTTTGGAGAAGATGTATAATTGATTCAACTTGTATATTTTTTCCTACATGCATTTAATTTACCAATGATCATATAAATAATCATATAATATTAAATATTGTATATACTGGTTAATAGGATGCTAGAGGGTGGTCTTATTACTTTGAGAAAGGTAGATTTTTTTTTATACAAGTTTATGACTTTCTATGAAATTATTAATCCTTTTGGATGATAACATAATTTACATTTTTTTTTTCTAAGACGCTGAAAATGTTGAATCTTCTGATGATACCTCTAATCTTTTAGCAAATATATCATCTGACGGTTAGCAATTTTATATATTATTCATCATAAAATTCTTTATTTGTAAACCTTATTAATTGATTTATTTTTATAGGCGATATGTACGAGAAATGGGCCAAAGCTGAGATCGCTTATAACTCTCAATTGCTTCCTACACGTTCAAGTAGGTCCTAAAAAAGTATCGATAATTTATTATTTACATTATCTTATGATAGATGAATAATATAAATATATGTTTTTTTTAAGGTGATGATTCCAATTTAGAAGATCCTTACCGTGTTGTCATATTTGACGATATCCGCACATTTCTATTTGACTTAACGTCTCATCAATCACGTATTGAGCTTATATATTCCTGTCTTACTTTTACCGGCTTGACATATAATCCTGGACTCTCGTCATCGAGTCCGATGATTACAGACGCATTTCTATACAATAAACTTTCAAATGAATCAATCGAGAATGCCAGTTTTTGGTCTACAGACACATCTATTACTCGCACGTTTACATTTCCAATCAAAGCCTTCCCTCAGGATGAAGTTACATTGTTCAATTCGCAGACTTGGTTCTCTATTTGTAATGATGTTGATATTATGGATGTTAATATAAATTTTTCTAGGTTAGCTATTTTTGGGTAGTTCTATAATGAATAATGCAGCGATCTGATGCTGATTTTACACCTTCATTCAGGAATGCTTTTTATCAATTACGACAGGTTGTAAATGATACAGAGATAAAATTATGTCGTTTATCACTTGAATATCTTTACGATGCGTCAAGGTACTAGATCTGCTAGGCATATTTCCGTTTATAAAGCTTTTAATTTAACTCGATTAATATAAATATTTTAGTGGGCGGAATCTTGCAAAGAATATGCTCAAACGCGACACTATGAATCTTTCACTTTGGAATGGTTATGCACAAGTAGAAAAATCTTCAAATAATATTTCTGAGGTATATTTCAAATATATCTCGTTTATCTATATTTTTTTTTTAAATGAATATCATGATATTAATTTAATTCTCGTGAAATTAAGGCACGTAAGGTTTATTTGGGCGCTATTTCCCAATATCGCACATTTCCTGAACAGTACCGTATTATGGCACCATTATTACATCGATCATTCGCTGAAATGGAACTAGAACAGGGCCGTCATAAGACCGCGATTAGTATCCTTTTTGCGTTGAAATTCATTCTTATTTAGGAGTTTATTTTTATTTGGTCTTTTGTCTTTGACTTCACATTTATAGATATTCTCATAAACTTGACTGAAGATCAGGGGACGATAGGTATTTTATACACCACGAATTGTCTATAACTTTTTAGATAACAGTTTTCATTAGTTGACATTTGAAAATGATGCTTTTTCAATAGACTCGATATCTGAATCTGATGTCTCTGCCACAAAGTTACTGAGGGCCAGAAAGGTAGTTTTCAGATAGATCATCATTAATTTATCAATGGCTTTGATGATTAATTTGTATATTAAAAATTTTTTTTCGCGAAATCCTTAGTACTATTCACAGCAAATAGCACGAATTACAACTCCTTTAACTTCACAGATTGAAACACATAATTCACTACATTACTGCGTATGTTATGCATTATTGGAATGTCTTAGTCAGAATTTGCAGCAAGCAAGTAAAGTATTTGAAGACATGCTACATTACCTGGAGATTAGGTCTGATAATGTTAACGTGGAAACAGAGTGGCTATATATGTCATATCCTTTTTTTTGGAGAAAATTAATAATAAATGAAATTGATAACATATCAATATTAATATTCTTAACTGAGTTAGCACTTATGTAAAATTAATTTTTCAACAATCATTTTCTGAAAAATTGGTATCAGATAATGAGCCTGGAAAATTATTACAAGAGGTACTTACAAGAGCATTACATCTGTTTCCAAACAATACTATATTTTTATCATTGTATTTCCATGAAGAAGTTCGTGGGAGGATACCCCGTGGATTAAACACAATGTTAAATGAGACATTAAAAAAGTATTTTAAGCATCTATACGTATAATTATTTACTCATTAATAATTATCATTATTTAGATATTTTTTTCTTTGTTTTGTTTAGGAGACCAAGCTATATTTTATGGACTATTGCCATATATATGGAATTACATAACCAACAACCATGTGATATTAACCGCGTTCGAGCGACATTCGATAAAGCATTGAGTTGCACAACGTATTTACTTATTTTATTTCCTTTGGCCTTTGTGATGCATGACATTAATCAGGTTTTTGCTTTATACAGAACAAGAAACTCCGTAGCATTATGGATTTTATATATAAATTTTGAAATTAAATACGGAGAATTGAATAAAGTCAAAGCTATATATTATAGGGCCATAAGAGAATGCCCATGGTCAAAGGGTTAGTGTAATAAGAACCGATTGATATTATTTTAACATAGCTTGGCATTTAATATTTATTTATTTTATTAGATCTTTATATGATTGCATTTAAAAAATTGCGTGCCCAATTTTCATCTGATGAATTGGAAGAAATTATGGCCGTGATGTTAGAGAAGGAGATTAGAATAAGAGTTCAAATTGAACATTTTACTGATAAAGTATCCGAATTTTTATTTAAAAACTTTTAAACTTTTAAACATAAACCGTGATGAAATTCCGAATTAATTTTAGTGATTAATAAAATGCAATTAAGAAATTTATGTTCAATTAATATATATTTTTTTTTATTAAAAAAAAAAACTCTCTTGAATATTTTGATTATTTTTGGTTCATGGTAAAAGTTCGTATTGATTTATAATTTTAGATAAGGTATCTACAAATTTTTTTATATTACTAAATAGAATATCGTTTGCACTAAATTACGCTATACATCTTTTAATAGCTCATTACTTACCTTTTTTTAAAAAAAACTTTTTATAAGAGACGATATACAATATATCAAATAGTTTTTCTAAGATGCTTCTGTACCTTCCTTTTAATATTGGTCCATTTTTAATTCTAAATTGATCCTGTAATTGTGTGGGGATTACTTATTAATTACTATATTATTTTATCTTCCCTTTGCAAGTTATCTTTTGCATTTTATCCAGGTAGAATCTGGGATTGATTAATAAAAAATAAACAATAAAATTCTGCATGCTGTACATATTTTCGCGTAATAACGCCCATATGCGCGTTATTTTAAGTACATACGCGTGATCTAGAATACGCGTATGGGCATTATTTTGAGGCAAAGATAAAATTTCTCCTAAACCTGATCTTCTAACGCTCACGCTAATTGATAGATCGCTTCTTAAATCTTTTCTTACCCAAGCCGATTTAGCTGTTAAGTATAATAAGAGTTTTTGGAATGCTTTGATTAATTTCTTATTGTAGCAGCATATTATTACACTGCCTGCTATATCTAATTATTAACTGACAATAAGCACTCTTTATGTGTGTGCGCGTTATTTTAGGACGCGTTATTTTGAAATTACGCATACCATTTTCAGGGAGTGCGATTTTCTAAATAACGTTCGCGAACGCTATTACGCGAAACACGGTAATAAATATTTATTTTCAATAAAGATCAATTTTTATGCTATACACTAAGATTATCCATATGCCAAGATTAACAGAAACATGAATGGATGAAAAACCTTGCTAGCATTGGTAAGTGCCATTAAAGCCAGTTTGTTTATTGCGAAACATATTTAAATATGTTATTATTTAAAAACCTTTACATTTATTTAAATAATGATATTTCGTAACCTAATGATTGGCATTCAGATGAATCGAATATAACACAAATAAGTACATATAAATTTGACATTGGGACAAATCATGAGTATTTTAAATAAATATCAACTATATTTATTACGTACATATTCAATAAACTATATTGATGAGTTTTATTATTAAATCAGATGCATCACGTTCAAGGATATTGAAGTGCCCAAGTTTTCAAACACGCATCTTGTCCAACAGAAGATACTGTGTTGTTGTCTAAAAATGTTACTCCAGATACACTGACCTGATGTGCACCTTTTTATTCAGAATAAAAATTCCGAACCAAAACAAACAATATAAATTAGATATTTTCAGGTAATAAAATAGCACAAATTAACAATTTGCAAATAAAATTGTCTATTACCTTTAATCGCAATACGATTTGATGGCTTTTCGACACTCCATACATAAATATTAGTATCCAAAGAACTACTAACTAAATGAAGACTATCTGGTGACCAAGCAATGGCATAGATACGGGCAGTATGAAAGACCCACTCTGAAATATTGACCTTAAAAGAAATAAAATATATTAATTTTTACAAAAATATGAGTAAGTATTATTAAGATGATAATCCACCTTTTTGCTATTTGCATCATATACATAAATTTTTCCTTGTGAATCTCCAACAGCAAGTAAGGAACCATTAGGAGAATACGCAATAGCTGTGATAGCACCTCTATTAGACGATAATTTTTCCTCTTGCTCTTCGAGCTTATCTTCATTCAACTTATATATTCGGACCTTTGCATCCTATAATGTTTTTGATAAATATTTTCTTTTATTCAAATGCCATCTATGGTATATCAAAATAATACGATACAGAAATTCTTACTTCACTGCCGACAGCAATTTCTGTGCATGCAGGATTGATAGCAATAGCACCAGGAGGGGATTGTACTTTAATACTGAATATGCACTTATCATTACTGATAAGTTGTATATCATTTATAGTAGCAACTACTATCTTATTCTCAGAAACTGTAACACCTTTCGGTAAAGCACCGGTTGGGATGACAGATGTACTGCAATAGGAAAGAATAATCATTTATAATTTCTGCTATATACATATATATATATATATATATTGTTTCGTTGTATGATTTTTTTTTTTAATTACCCGAATGATTTTACATCAACATCAATCATTCTAACAGTATCATCCATGCCAACAGAAACCACTTTCTTCCCTTGAGAAGTCAATTGAGTAACTGAGTTGGTATGAGTATTGCCACCCACTACAGAGCAGCTACCGTCAACATTCCATGCATGTGTGGTATTTGTTAAGTATAGTATATGACTTTTAACGATATATCAAAATTGATTGAATTCCTTGTTTTTAAAAGGATATAAATACGTCCATCATAACTTCCAGTAAATAATGTTGAATCTTCGCTTTGCGTAAACGCAGTAATTGCTTTTTGATGACCCTATAAATCACACAAAATGAATCATGATTAGTTATAAATCTAATATAATCTATTTTATTCAATCATAAAATATAACTTACCTTAACCACCTTTACAGGTGATGGTGATTTCTGATCAAGGTAGTTGATATCCCCGGATAGTGACAGGCTAATGATATATTCACCTTCCCAAAAATTTCCGACTTGTTGGTCGTCAATCGTATCGGAAAACCCGAACGTCCTAAGATAAATATGTTTAATAAGTATATATATATATAATTTATAATTTCTCTACAAATGAACTTACTGTACGACTTTTTGGGCTTCAATATCCCAGATTTTTGCAGTCTTATCACCAGACGAAGTGAGAAGTTGTTTACCATCGGGTGACCATGAAACAGCAAAAATGCTACCTTTGTGAGAATCAGTTGCAACAGCATCTGAAAGACACGACAATTTGCTACCAGTCTTCCCTTCGTATAAAAACACCTTCACAATTTATTAAGCCATGATCATAAGTTTTAAATTATTAGAATATATATGACATTACTAAAGAATTATATACCTTTTTATCCGACCCTACTGTCACCAGTTTTTCACCGTCAGGAGAAAATTTTACACTCTGAACGAATGCTGTATGATCCCTTATGGTTAAGTTATGTTTATACGGTACTCCATGTAGGAATACGACAGAAAAGTCATCAGACGCTGTTGCGGCACGGAACGGACGTTGTTGACGGATACTGACACTATTAATAACTTTAGTATGGCCACTTATTTCTCCAACAGAAGATCCAGTATCAAACAAAAATGCACGGCCATATCTTAACAGTTTATTAATAGATAAATTTTTTATTAAATTTTCAATACGCATAAATATAGTGAAATGTAAGATAAATATATAAATTATATACCGCTCTTTACCATCACCAACAGCAATCATTCTTTTACTCTCGGAATCCCAAGCAATATCATTAATCCTTCCAGAAATGACTTTAACCTCATTCTTTAGAATTTTTTCGTCTTGGGTGGCATCCCATATACGAACATTGCCATGTATATCTAAAGTAATGCGTAACAATATTACGCAATGAAAGGATGCAACGAAAAGATGTTTTTATAATAATTATGGCACTTTACCGCCAGAAGCTACATAATATCCACTTGGTGAATAACGTGCCACTGTGGCTTGAGCAGAATGCCCAGTATATTCAGTCGCTACAGCCGGATTCTGTTGATAAATAATAAATATTAGGAAATAAACAGAATTTTATACTTAAGTCATGCAAAGTTGATTTTTTTGGCTTTCATAACAATAAAAATTTCGAATGATTTTTTGATACATAATTTATCTGTAAATTTTATAAATACGAAAAATTTTTCTATGGATCACAAAACCCGGTCGAGTTAAGAAAACCAAGAAATTAATTTTATATGACCTAATCATTTATCTATGAGGGCCATTCACGATACTTACAGCTAAATTACGAATAATAACAGTTTTTCCATTCGTATATAAAAGGCTTTCTCCTTTTGGATCAGAGCCCAACTGAACAGCCTGACCACGGGT